GACAATGACAATGACAATGACAATGACATTGTAAATACAATTAGAATAAGAACGAGAAGGTAAAAATTTATGAGAATAAGTAAGTTTTACTATGACTTACTAGATAGACAATGCAGTAGGTGCGCATTGAGCTAGGTGCGCTGGATAAAAGTATTCCTGCTGCGCCATTGACGCAGCTAGCGGTCCATGGGTGGATATACTCCTGGCAGGTGCATTTGATAGCTCCATCGATCAGCTTGCTCTGCGCGGCCATTATTTGTATGTATGCGTGTTAGACAGGTGTTTCGATTTATTATTAAAATGAATTATTACGATTATCGTACAATTGATAAGATTAAGAAATATAACGCGCGTCGCGCACAAAGTTCGAATGCAAACGTTATGTTGAAATCGAAAGTTTGCTTGCTAAACAAATATTTAAATATATGTTAGCCGGTATCAAATTAACGTTCAATACCCGATTAACAAGTTTGATATCATCTGTATTCTAGACAGCTACGCGCTCCAACTATGACTGCGTGCTCGCCGGCCAAACATTAAACACGACTCATTTCGGAACATTCCATATTGGCCCTTATCAGATATAGTCAAACAAGAGAACAGAAGTTCTTATCAGCCGTGACACTGTTACATTTTATCAGTTATTTATTCTCTTTGCGGCTCTCTTAAATATAAATAGAGTGAAAGTTCGACTGGGTAAACTCGCACGTTAAATACTCTCAACAAATGATCTTTAAGGGAGAACAATAGAAGAGTTGAATAAAATATATTGAATTCAATACATAGATAACGAAAATAAAGCTGATAGTTGAATAAGAAGAGGAAATGATTTGGCGAACAAAGTAGAATATAACAGAACAAAAGAGTAGAGCTAACAAAATATAATTATATATTTGCCATGATTAAATAATAATTCCCTTTACACAGAGTTAGTACCAAAAGAATAAAGAATTAATTTGTCAATATTCCCCACTTTGAGTGATCATTGACATTATATACGCGCACGCCCAGAATAAGCTTTATATATTGAAATCGTTCGACTTACATACTAACATATAACTATTCATGTACAATGATAAAATGTCATTTTGGAGAGACGAATTGAACGTTGAATGTGCGCACTTCGAGTGCTGAGAATTATTGTAGGAAATGTAGTAGGTAGGCACGCCTCAGTTCGACTTTAAACGTGGCTACACTCAGGAGGCAAACGAAAATGCTGGGAGTGTCTGCTTGTCGACGATTTTTAGGCTCTTTAGCATTTCGTTTGTTTGCTGCTGCGTGTTGAGGCCGAAGACATCAAAAGCGCTCAAATTGAATTTGTTGAGCCTGTCATAAGAGATATAAATACATGTATATAAGAAAAGAAATGTAAAGGATTCACAAGTCTGAACTTGCCTCTCGCCTGATATGGCCTGCAAGAATTTGTAGTAATTGGGACGCAGCGATTGTGCCTCCATGATGCCCGCATGGAAGAGCACAGCTGTGAAGAATGCATAAGTATAGAGCATAAAATTAGGAATGCGCGGAAGAATGCCTCGTTCTTGGCCCATGCTGCAAAGTATCTAAAAAAAACAGAAGATAAATCGACAATTGAGATTGAGTGTTTAATAATGAGAATATTGTAGCTCACTTGGATGGCCTTCCACATGACATACAAGGCGACCGTATTATCTGGATACTGGGTGAATGCCACTGAGGCCACCAAACCAGCTGGTATTGCGAACACCGCATCGTCCCGATTGAAGCTATGGCGCAACAGGCAAGACATGGACTGAAGAAACCAATCCCAATGTGATATATATATAAATATATATCCGATGTGAGCAATGTCTTACCTTGTACAGAAACGAAAACGTTCCCATGAAGATACCTAGCTTTAAGGTGCTTCGATTGAAGATTTGTTTGCGCCATAGCATGCCTCCTCGGAATACGTTTTTGATATTCATCACCAGCTTCAATGCTACCTGCAGAGCCACACCGCCAGCAAAGGGACGAAGGCCACCTAAGATTGCATAGGTGGGACAGCTTTGTTTATGGCGGCAGCTGGCATGCTTGGCATGGATTAGATTGCTATAGACGCGAACCCAGTCGGCGGTGGTGGCAAAACTGACGCTGGGTCGTCGTCGAGAGGGCGCTGGCTGGTCGCCGGTCGCCAAAGGCTCAGGTTTGACCACCGGCCCGGATTCCTCTTTGCCCACAAATATGCGCAAAATATTGAAGATGGAATCGTCGTTGGCGCTCAGACGATACAGATATAGAAGCGCAGCCATGCTGCCGGCAAAGATGAACGTCTGGCCATGTGCTATGGAACGCACCCAGTTTCGGGCCTCGGCCATTTTCCAGAGCGCTTCGGTGGCCACATTGGCTACGTAGAGCGTCAGCAGTGGACGTCGGGCCGGGCGCTCAACCAGAATAGCTGTCAGTGAGGACAGGAACGAGGGAATAAAGGCAACAGTGCTGAAATGGTAGCGCCCCAGCAAATTCCGCAGCAAGCAATTGTAGAGAATAAAGGTGTACGCATTTGTGACCAGGAAGGCTGTTGATTGGATGATCCCCAGCAGAGTTCGCTTCAGATCCTCCAAAGTTGGCACTCGATGTCGCATGAGTAGCGAAAAGGCGTATACAATTGTGTAGACACGCAAGCAATAGGGCGTGGCAGATAGGAGGATGCCTGCGGTGGCGTTAACGCACTTATCCGTCCAGGGGTGCTGGAACTCCTGACATGTGATGCACAACGGATCAAGAAGTTTACTCTGTATTGCCATTATGTGTGCTGCATTAACAACGATTAATGGATTAATGACGGTTATTGTTTGCTAGCGGAAAACGAACCAAGGCGAAGGCCACAAGTCCGCAGTTTGGCCTATAATCTTATCTATTGAAGTGCTTTTTTTGCACTTCTGGATTTTAATTTTATCACGGGCACACAAAAAAAATTTAGCTGATTTACGAGCAAAATGATACTGTTGGCCTATTAAAGCGCGGGTCAAGCAAAAAGATGATAAAATCAGATTTCCACTTGATGCTGTTGGACTTTGACGTACTTGTACTTAAATACCGATTTGTGAAAGCAGTTGTTGCTAAACTATAGCTGTGTGTTGAATATTAAATGACAGTAGCCAGTTGCTTTGAACTTCAAACGGAGAAATAATCGAGAATTAATTGTGCGTTAAATGCACTGAAATGTGCTGAAACGCTAACTGCGTTTCATTTACATGTAAACAAAACAATTGAAAAACAGCTGTCTGCAGTGTGACCGTAGCTAATTTTTGATACCTAACCGAACGATGAGTTGGACAAAAATGTAACCTTTGAACTTTGAAATGGTGAAAGTTATGTGAGGACATAGTTTGTACTTGTGCGGCCTCCATATATATCTATCCCTACGTTTTAAAATGTGTTTTTTCGATTATAATAAGCGTGTAAAAGTCACGTACCTCTTGAAGACTTCTCGTTTGGCTGCCTTTTGAATTTGTTAGCGCTATTATAAATTATCGATAATATGCTGGCACCGGTATCGATATATACTGTTTGCTATTTGTCGAGCGTGTCGTATCATTAAGCTTGCAAGGGGTAACAATTTGAAACTATTTTAATCGTGTTTAAATGATTGTAAAACTTATTTCTTAAATTGAAGTTTGTTCACAGATTGTTGTAAATTGTGGTATGGCTATATTTTTACTTTAAAATAAATTAGACTTACATACACATTTATACATATATACATATACATACAAACATATGTATACAGTCGAGTCTCGATAAATCGAAACGCCAAAGGAACAATGTTTTTGAATGTTTAATATCTTACGTCGTTACAATAATTTTAACCTAATAAAAGTAATGAAAATACACATGCATTCAAAATTATGTATTAAGAAACAAAATTAAAATAGCTTGTATTTTTTATTTTATTTTTTTTCCAAAATCGATAACCTTTTCCCTTATTTTCTAATCGATAAAAAACCTTTTCGAAAATCAGTTATACAATTATAAAATATCTCCTACATCTTTTTTTTTAAATTACATACCACCCACCTCTATATCAACACCATCATCCACACATTTGTGAAAAGCGTGTATCAATTACTAGAGACTAGTGCTTTAGCAATTTTGATGGCATGGTCTGAAAGTTTCATGAAGATAGTCCACCTACAAGAAAAGTTATTAAACAATTAGGTCCCCATATTAAGCCCACACTGCAGTGCGTGCGTTTGTGTACATGTGCTGTTTTTTAATAAATTTTGAAATATGAGTTACACGAAGGGTTCAGGGAATCTCGTAGTCGAGCAGTCTCGACAAGAGCTTTCTTACTTGTTATTTATTTATTTATTATACCCTGAACCCATTGAAAATGGGAAATCAGGGTATAATGGTT